TAAGAATTATTGGAATTCACCAAATAACGGGAAAAATTGAAATATTATTTATCAAAAAACGAATGTGTGATTTACAAACTCCTAAACACATATTTATAGACTCAAAACAAATCCTAATCACATTGAGATCCTAATTTTGTAGATAAATTCAAATAAAATAAACAAATGCAAAACGATGAAAATACTCTTAAATTAACTTAAAATTGAAAAACACTAAATCGGACCACTAAACGAGACCTGACAAAAATGTGCATAATCAAAAAATGCTTTTGGATTGTACTCACAAATGAAAATTCGACAACCAAGCTGAAAATTATGTGCGTTTTCGTAGATTCTTCTAATTTCTTCTGTTTTATAATTGTTTAAGATTTTCCCTTTCAATTGATTCGCATCTGGGTAGAGGGTTATTTAGAAATTTCCAAAGAGATTGACTTACGTACATAAAATGGGAAAAGAACTAACTGCCTGAGCTACAAAAGTTCAAATAAAAACCATTAAATATTTGTAGTCAACGCTTGAGAATTTACGTTATCTATGAAATGTTTGTTAGGAAAACGTGGGTCACGTTTGACTTGCAATGATAGTGGAATTGAGAAAATACAGCTAGAAATGGACTTAAGTATTTACGTGGTTCACCCAATTTATGTTACGTCCACGGGCAAATATAGGAGGATTTCAGTATAGTAGGAGAATTACAATAATACCCTCTAAATACAAGGAGATAACACCAATTAATCTCTCTTGTAATAGGAGAAAAACAAGTACAAAATGGTGAAGATGTTGCCTCTTTAGTCCAACAAAGTGGCTTTATTCCAACAATGTTTGTGTTGACAGAGTTACATTCAATCGTTCACATAGTTGACTGGTTCCAATTATATTTTCAATCATCTTTCCTTTATATAATGATATTTCCAAGGTTCATGTTTGCATTAACAATGGCGTCTGCCCTCTTCAACTTCATATTCTTCATACTATTTCTTCTCCCTTTCTGCACTCTTTCTCAAAACGATGGCACTGTAAATGTGGGCACCTCTCTTGCTGCAACAGAGAGGTCCACTCCATGGCTTTCACCTTCTGGAGATTTTGCATTCGGGTTTCAGAAACTTCAAGACAACGATCAATTTCTACTTTCTATATGGTATTGTTAACTATCTCGTCAAAAAGTTTAAAATTATTGTTTTGAAATTGAGTATATAGCACGCCCCGCAGACCCTCAAAGATAGGTGTGGTTCATTTTTCCGCCTAGCACAAGAACAATTATCATAAATAGGTCACAGTGAACTATGTTAACTGTTAAGAATTGGGTCATCTTAACAGATAACATAGTNAAAAGGTCAACCTTATTAAGAGGAGTAATCCAAGATCTTTATTAATTGGGCTGTGTCAACATCATTTATCGATGTAGGATATATATCCCTAACATTAACCATCTTGTCTAAGCTGTTGGAAAGTGGCCATGTTAATGTATTAAATTGTCTTCAACAGGTATAATAAAATACCAGCAAAAACCATAGTATGGTATCCGAAGGATACAAGTCCAGTATCACGTGGATCGACTGTGGAGATTGATGCACAAAATGGGCTGGTGCTTCTTGATCCTCAAGGCCGCCGGCTATGGCGTACAGAAAATATTGTTGACAATGTTTCTCATGGTTTTATGAACGATACAGGAAATTTTGTTATAGCGCGTAGTGATTCAAGCGGGATATGGGAAAGTTTCAAAAATCCAAGTGATACGATGCTGCCCACGCAGATAATTGAGATTAACGGTATGCTTGTTTCACGAACATCTGAAACGAATTTCTCTCGAGGAAGATTTCATCTTGACTTGCTCAACGATGGGAATTTAGTGCTTAATACTCGAAGTGTGTCGAGGAATTCGGGTTTTGATTATGAGTATTACAGCAGTCAAACTTCTGATCTTGGAAATGCATCGAATTCTGGTTTTCAAGTGATCTTCAATGGAAGGGGCTCAATTCAAGTCTTGAGGAGAAATGGCGAACGAAAAGCCTTAACTACGGAGCGATCAATTCCAACAACTTCGGATTATTATCACAGGGCAACTCTTGATTTTGATGGAGTTTTCAGACAGTATTATCATCCCAAGAGTTTCAGTGGAAATCCTGGGTGGACTGCTGCTGAATATTGGCCCGAAAACATATGTGTCAGCATTATTGGAAATGTTGGAAGTGGGGCTTGTGGGTATAACAGTATCTGCAGACTTCAGAATGGAAAACCAATTTGCAGATGCCCTCAAGGTTATTCATTGGTTGATCCGAACGATGCTAACGGTCATTGCTACCCGAAGTTCATGCCAAGCTGCGGTGAAGATGATCAGAAGGGTTCTGCAGAAGATTTATACGAAATGTTGGAGGTTTCTGATACTGATTGGCCAACGTCGGATTTTGAGGAAACAAGCCCTTGTTCAGAAGATTGTTGTAAAAATGTCTGCCTGAATGATTGTTTCTGTGCCGCTTCAATTTATAAAGATAATAAATGCTGGAAGAAGAAGCTGCCTCTGTCTAATGGAAGACTTGACACTAGTGTTAATGTAAATTCTTTTCTCAAGTTAAGGAAGGTTGATGTTCCTTTACAACGCCCTAATCTTCCAATTCCAGATGAGCGAGCCACAGTTCGTTGCTTCTTAGAGCTCCAATAGATAGGATAGCGATCAAGGTAAACAAGATAGGCACTAGTACACATTAAATCATTCTTATTGCATGCCCAATCTGCATCGAAAAAAGCATGGAGAGATATGGATGTATGATGATAAAGAACAAGACCATGATCCATTCTCCCACATAAATAGCGTAGTAATCACTTAACAGCACTCGGATGGTCACTAGTACGTTGATGTATAAACTAAGATAGCTTATTCAGCATATAAGCAATGTCAGGGCATGTAAGTGACATATACCGGAGACTTCCAACAATGGTACTATACTCAGTGGGATTAGAGAGTACCGTGACAGATAGAAGATTTAGTGCAGGAGTAGTGGCGATGAGTAGCAATGGGATTTGCATCCATCATGTGTGTTCGAGCAAGAAGATCCTTTATGTACTGGCGTTGAGATAGAAATAAGCCTTGAGAATGGAGAATCACTTCAACTCCAAGAAAGTAAGTCAATGGTCCAAGGTCTTTAAGGGAAAATCAACGAGAAAGGAGCTGGGTGAATTTTTGTACAACCCTATCATTGTCACATATAACAATAATGTCATCAACATAAACTAAAAGATAACTAATTGTACCGTCTTTGTTAGAGATAAACATAAAAATGTCTGCATGAGAGTTGGTGAAGCCCGATGTGACAAGAAACTGATGCAACTCATGATACCAGGCTCGGGGAGAGTGTTTAAGACCATAAATAACTTCACAAAGTTTGCAAACATGATGAAGATGATCATGATCAATGAAGCCTTGTGGTTGAGTCATGTATACGTCTTCAGAAAGAGTACCTTGGAGAAAATCATTGTTAACATGAAGTTGCCTAAGAGACCACCCACGACTGACAGCAAGACTAAGTACTAGTCGAATAGTAGTGGTTTCACATCTGGACTAAAAGTGTCATGATAGTCAACTCCCGGAGCTGATGAAACCCCTTTGTAAACCAAATCGAGCTTTGTACCTATCAATAGATCCATCACATAAATGCTTAGTATGAAAAATCCATTTGCAACTAACCAAATTTTGAGTTGGATGAGAGGGAACTAGGTCCTCTGTCCCATTTTGAAGTAGAGCATCATACTCATCAGGCATTACCTTACGCCACTTGGGATCCTTGATGGCTTGATTCATGGATGTGGGTTCAAGGTCATTATAAGTAGCGAGCTGAGCAGTTAGGTTCAATTTAGTGATTTGCTTGTGAATATTGTTTTTAGATCAAGTGATAATTACTCGAGGGATGAGAGGCTAAATAAGTGGAAGAGGAGTTTGTTGGTTCAGATAAGGAGGTATTTAATGGAGGTGGGATGGATGTTGGCCTAAGTGATTGGGCTATATTATGTGGGGATGGTTGAGCCATGGAGTTGGAACTTGTGAAAAGTCATGGTGCGGGGATGGTGGTGTTGTAGCACTGTTATTTAGGTTCAAAGACAAGGTGAGATGACAAGGGAAAGGGTTCTAGTGCACAAGGGTTGCAAGTGTTAAGTCTATGGATGATGTGTTGGTGAAAGATTATTGATTCAAAGAGGAAAAATTGAACTTATCGGATTTGTAATTGAACTTACCAGATTTGTACTAACTTACCGGTTTTGCCAAGGTTACCGTATTTGCACAATGCTTACCGGATTTGCACAGAATGCTTTGTTTTGTAAGAAGAAGAAAAATGAAGAAAAGAAGGACATGATTGCATTGTTTCTTGCTGTCCTTAAAATTTAAAATTAGATACACTTATTGTATTGCTTCAAATAACCCCAAATTCAACCACATTATCTTGATTTATTCTCACCCCTATCAACCCGGAATTTGGTTCTCTCCAGTAAGGCACCACACATGATATCTTTTACCATCTACCCACTAAGTGCACTCCTCACTTTACCATTTTTAATTCCGCTTTGGTTAACTTCCAGAAACCGTTCCTTTTCATTTAAATTGAAAACATTAACTCCTTCAAATTTTGTAGCACTTTTTCGCTCATAGACCACAATTACACTACAACAAAAATTGTCTTTCGCAATGTTTAAAAATTGTTTTGAAAGACCTTTTGCAATGTTTGCGCGTATATTGCCGTAGAGTAAAACGATATGACAACGTTTATACATCGTTGCAAAAGGCCAAATCCGAACGCTACCATTTAGTTTTTGAAACGTTTTAAAAACGTTGTGGAAAGTAATTTGCAACATCTATTAAACGCTGTCAAAAAATTTGTACACATCTTTCACAACGTTTCAAAAATGTTATTAATATTTTTTCAACATTTTTTGAACGTTGCCTTTAACGTATTTGCAACATTTTTCTGAGTATTGTCTTAACGTATTAGCAACGTTTAGTTGAGTGTTGTCATTACTTTTGTTTTCAACTTTTGGCAACGTTTTTTAAGTATTGTCGTTCCTCTTTTACAACATTTTATGAAAATTGTCTTAACCTGTTTGTAAATTGTGTTCACCTTTTCGCAATATTTGTTTAACATTGTCATTTCTTTTGTCCTTAGCTTTTGCAATATTTTACAAATGCTGCCCTATGCCTTTTTTTTAATCGTCATTTTTATATTTTTATATTAACCAATATATTTAAATACATTTTTTTGAACATTTTTATAGTAAAATATGAAAATTAAACAATATTATTAAAGACTTTTTGGTTGTGCATCAAATTGATATTAAAATTTCATTTCGTATTTTTAAACCATACAAAATAGGCATAGTTATCTATAATAAAATCCATACAAAATGGACAGTCATCGATTAATAACAAAATCCATGCAAAAAATTCCTCCATCTTACATGTAGGAAAGTATATCAGAATCAAAAGAAACAAAGTGAACAACAATTACTACCAAAATTATATTGAGTGGAAAGAAGAAGAGTATTGTGTTCCATATGGAAATTAACAAATACATATAAATCCATAGCTCTAGGGAATTTTATTGCCTTACAGAAAAAATGAATGCCTTCTGAAATGTCATCTATACTGTCCACAACATATTTGACACGTGGCATTTTTGATTGACTCAAAACATGCCAAACAAGGTGCAATAGAGCTTCTTTCATATAGAACTTAACTGATGATTAATCTTGAGACTTGTACAGAAGAATGTCTCACTTCCAAATGGCCAAGCTTCTGTGGAGAATGCATTGGAATACTCACAAGGTTACTCCAAAACTCAGTTTGAGGTACTATTTATGCTTCAAAAATACAACTTTTTTATACAATTCTAGTTAAACAAGTTTATACAATTCCAGTTAAACAATTGCTAATCACCAAATCAATTTTTTTTTTTTTTTCTCTTTGCAGGGGAGATCTACATATCAAGAGCATTATGATTTCTTCCAGCCTTCACTCATTCAAATCAACAGCAGCAAAATGCATCTTTTTTTGTCATCTCATGACGATTCTACTGCTCACTTGGAATCACCACAAAAGCAGAATCATGGAGATTCACAAACAGTAAGACCTGTTCTTCCATCTTACACTTTACCAGTGTAAGAAATAGATTTTTAGAATCTAATTTATGAGTTTTTGTGCTTATATAGAAGAATAAAATCAGAAAAGAAGAATAAAGCAAATACACTTGTAATTATAAGTGCAAAGATTGACAAGTAATTATAAGTGGAAAGATTGAAAAAGAAAATGCATGAGAAAATCCATTGAATAAAAAACCATAACTACGTAAGAGAAGTCGAGAATGATAGAAACAAGTGAGTACACTATGCACTAATAAACATCATTTTGAAAACTTGTGTTCTAGTTATCATTTAGTTGATCTAGTTATCTTTCTTGAACTAGCATTTTTAAGCTCTGTTTAACATATTGTGGCTAAAGTTGAACATTTTCTATTCATATTTACATTCACAATTCACAATGACTTCACATATTAACAGTTATCAAGACAGCTTTAAGCTTACAATTAGAGATCAACTTTAAGCATCAGTCTACAAGTGAAAGGTCTTAGCATTATATTCACATTCATAATGATTGGACACGAATGCAAAAATTAGTAATTGAACTCCCAATGTAAACTAAGCATCAGATACAATGCATGAATGACAAATTCTAGATATATGAGTCTCACGTGGCTTCAAGATAAAAACTATAAACTGAGATTCAATTACCCAGCTGCTATTTCATTGATTGAACCGAAATTACATAAACCAACAAAGATAAACATAAAATAGAGAAAGTAGAAGACATAATTATAGAAGAAGAAGAGAGATTCGGAATAACAGAGAAGAACAGAGACAGATAGGAGAAGGCTGAAGAGAAGAAGAATTCAGAGATAGGGAGAGAAGAGGGGAAAATTCTATTTTGCATCAACTTTCCTCTTCCCTTTCATCCTCTTCATGTGCAAAATTTACAGTGAAGAAGCTACATATCGGTGGAACATAAACTACAGTGAAGAAGCTACATACTGGAGAAGAAAGTAGTAAGGTCGACGATTAGCTTCAAAATCGATGACAACTTGAGCATGAGGACGCGGTTGAGGCACGAGCATACAGCGTGAGGCGCGAGGATTGTGGCTTCTTTGTTCATGAGAGGTTGTTGAGGCGCTGGGGTTCCAGTCATTCGGCTTCTACAATCGTTAGTGTGAGCGTAAATGTGAATTGGGTTGGAATTTGGTAGAGGTGTCAATCCGGGTGGTCCGGGCCGGGTCGGCCCGCCAACATGTGAGCCCGGTAACGGCCCGCGTGAAAAAAAGCCCGCCCGCTGCGGGTTCCGGGCCGGTTACGGGTCGGCCCACAATTTTGGACTACA